AATAAATAGATAATTTGATTTGATAARTGAAAAACACTAAAAAGTTATCTTGAAAAAATGGCCGCCACCGACGTCTCAATTTTTTTGCGTGGCCAGCACTCTTTAAATAATGACGTCTTAGAAAGTAACCATGCTAGTTTTCATGCTTGCATCATAATTTGAAAGATTGTTCAAACTCAGAGGAAGATCTCTTTTAAAAAATGTCCTACAAACCACAACATGAAACACAAACTAAAACATTTAGTCTTCGACCACGTGTCCGCTGATTTAAATTTTAACTGAATTCCCATTTTACGCAGGCCACGGGTAATCGCAAAAGCTCTGGACTTCCGTACGTATCAAATACTCTGTTGAATTAGCGTGGCCGAATTTCTGTTCTGCATAGAGAGATTACCTAAAAAGACATTTATTCCATTGCATCCTCCAGGGTTTATTTTTAGAYAGTTAAATTAGAGCTATTGTTGTCAGATCTGGTGCGGGGAAACGGCTCCGAGGAGGCTCCGCACCATAATGTAATCACGTTAGCTCTGTGAGCCACAAAGGAGCCGTTGAAGAGGCCACGGAGACGTTACACAGCMCTGGAAGAATGCACAGGTCAAAGCCAGGTGTGTGTAAGTGTGTGTGAGGATAGTCATAAACTGAATCACCTGCAGTGAGTTTGCCCTCTAACCCACAACAARGTTCAGGCTGTTAAGCATTCTTTATAGCCAACGATAAATCTCCACGAGCTGAAGAAAGGATATAAATGATAAGATGTGATGAAAGAAGGAAGCGGCTGATGAAGAAACCTGCGAAGTGATGAAGTGAGGTTTGGATCAAAAACAGATGGAGTCGGGAAGAAACTAGAAGAGTTCATGTATCTTTACACCCTGACACACACGCGCACGCTCACACACATATTCCTTCTCTGAATGCACAGCGTTCCGTAATTTAAAAATAAATGCACAAACTAGAACAATGCCTCATTTATCATTTGCTAAATTGGTTTTACAAGAGCAGAACATGCAGGCAAGAATAAACGAGAATCGTACTCTGGTAGTGTAGAGGAAAATAAAGCTATATTAAACTACTTTTTATGCTAATTGTCTATTTTTGCAAAGTATCTCATGAAACACTGGATGAATTTCAACTATTTTTTCCTAAATTAATAAACGGATGCACCTTTACAGCTGATTAACTTTTAGAGCCAACCCAATTCAAGATGGACACCACAGCAAACTGAGCTTAGAAAACACAAAAATGACTATAATTCAGTCAATTTGACAGATATTACAGATTTTATAGACGTATATAGATATGAGGCTACAGTTTGGTGTGTTTGTAGCTGATAGTCAACAAACACTAAATATTAAATGTTAGATAATTTATAATTACCTTTTGAAGTCACGCCTTTACAGCTGCACACAATGATCCAGCAGAATTTTTACAGGTGAAATACAKAAAACTAACAGCCACAAGAGTGGACCAACTGTGCAGTAAAACTAATATTAAACATGTGCTTTAAGCCAAGAAAGCATGATTAAATTAATTAAGAAGTTACTTTTTCTCTGGCAGATAGAAACACTTTGAAACACATGAATATCTTTGTGAAAGAATCTGTGGAGAGAAGGAGCCCACTGATGCTTCAGCCAGAATAAACTCTGCTGGAGATGCAACCCCGAGGCTGTTTATAAAAACTGACAGAGGAAGACTTTATTTCCTCAGGAAGCTTCAGTGTTCAGCAAAATGTTGCATATTTTCTATGGGTCTGTGCAGTTTTCTGTGCAGGCACGTGTTGGAGCAGCAGCAGGGCCAATAATTTAAAGACAGGTAAATAAAAATGCTGCTTTTTTAGCAAAGACTGCAGGAGGCCTCATAAAGTTACTTTTCCATGTTTGATCTGCTCATAAAGATTTACACATCAGGCAGATAAAAACGTGTAACAGAAAAAAAGCTTCATATTAATATTTTACTATTTTTCTTAGTAAGATTTGCAAAAGAAAAAAAAGTTGTGTTGCATAGATAAATATGTTCTTTTATTTGGCTTGGATTAGATTTTAATTATTTAAAAGATAATTGCAAATAATCTTGCAGCATTTATTTTAGGCTGCTGTTTAAAGGAATAAAAGATATTTTAATCAAAATAACGTTGGGGAGCTTTAAAGTACCCCTCATATGTTTATCCTTCAAATACAAAAATATCTTTAAATTTAGGCAATTTGACATAATACACAATTCTATACATTTTGTCACAATACTGGCATATTTTCTTTTGAAATGGGCTCAGCAAAAGTCAAACAGGAAGTGACATCAAAGGGGAACTCCTTAAGAAGGGGAACTCCTTTGTCTTTGTGTAAAGGACAGCCAATTGTTTCAATTTCACATGTAGTTTCATCATGTAATTTGTCACGCTCTTATTTTGAAAAGCACCACTCTTCCAGGTTTATTTCTGGCCCTTCCGTTCTTAGCTTAATGTTGTGAGCCCAAGTCGTGAAAATGTCTCCGGGTTAGATGTGTGTCAAATAAGAGAGCATGCTAGAGCAAGAGAAGATGTCCACCTTTAAACAAGCACACTTGGAAGGTGGAAGGATGTATGAAAATGTGGAGTTTATGTTTATTTTCATGAGAGTAATTACTCTATTAGAGACTCAAAATGATACAAAAAACATCAGATTCTTCTCTACTGTGTGTGTTGTTAGCCAAATGTTTGATGTCGCGGGCACTTTAAACAGTGCTGTCTGTACATMTTGTAATGTCTTAAAAAATCTTCTCATCTTAAAAGGAACATATGCAAAATCCACTTTTTTAGCCYTTAAACGCATTTTGTTATTTACTTGGAGACTCTAGGAGTGCACAAAATGGGAATTTAGTTTCTCCTGGTGCTGCGTAGTTATCTTTATATTCTGTTTGGGCCAAATTTTTCTGTGCTGCTATARAGTCATAAACCCCTCTATCAATCTAGAATGGACTGGTCTGGAAACTGGAAGGGAGCGAGGTGTTATACACCTCGTTTGGATTTAAAGAAACAGCCTTAAAATTAGTTGATCTGAGACACACCTTAAACGGGTGAAAAGGGGTCTTGCGGAGATACAATAAGGAAGAATTCAGACCAAGATTCAACTTTATATGGACCCCAACTGAATGATTTAAATGTGAAAAAGAAGGATTTAAAGGRATATGTTTCTTTTAAAAGATTTAAAATTATAACCTTGTTCTGRTGCGTCTAACACCAGACAATACTGAATTTATTTCAACGGGGTTTCATGAAAACTCCTAAATGTTCCAATGAGCTCATTCCATCCTAACATGACAGAAAACTTTCCTGTGGTTCTTTTAGGAGGGAAAAACAGAGTTGTAGAACAAAWAACGAAAGATTAAACTAATGAACTTATCCAGGATGTTCTAAATTCTTCCAGCGGCGGAATGCAGGGAGACTAACCTAATTTGAGCAGCCATCCTTCTCTGTCTGGGTTGAAGAACGTGTGCGTCAGGTCGTTCCCATCGTCCTCTGGGATCTTAAAGGGTTCGCTCTTAATGCTGTCGTATAGATTCTGGAAAAAAAAAAAAGAAAAAAGTAATAGGAAGGAAATGTCCTGAAGCAGAGAAACATAAGAGAACATTCAAACTGCTGACTGCCAACATTAACCCAGACTTTAGATTAATGGGGCAACTTGAACAAATTCTGCTTCTGTTTCATAAAGTTAGACACTGATTCACAGCTCAACAACTCTGTGAAAGATTTAAATAGGCAGGTTATTTTTTATTTTAAGTCAAGGAATTGAGGTGAAAACGCCAGCGGATCAGCATTTTTTAATGTTTTTATTTGCAGCTTTCTACTACAAGATTATGAGCTACAAAGTGTAAATAATCTGACAATGTTTGACTTCCATGTTTTACATTAAACACTTATCTGTGTGTTGTTTCAGAAACGCAGCACACAGATATGTTTGTCCAAGCAAACAAACTAATTAAGTCTCACCCTGAGTAGCTCCTCTGGGAGGTCCCCCCCCTCGTTGATCCCTCTGTTCATGGAGATGAAGCGCTCCACTGGGGGCTTGTCTCTGACGTTGGGGTTGTGYAGGCTGGTGTTCAGCATAATGATGGCAAATGACAGGACGTAGCAAGTGTCTGCGGAGGAAATATCAAAAACTCGATAATGTTTGAGGATTTGTCACACAATAATACATCAAATAACATTTTCATCATGAAATGTAACATTTGGTTGAATAAAAATGAGCACTGAATTGATGAGCTTTATTTTGAAAGTCCGAGCATCTCTGCAGTCCCACAGACATCAATGATCCACGGCTTTAACGACCGAACATCATAACTCCTGCTCACCATCCTCCACCTCATCCATCCACCCAGTCGACAGCCTCTGTGCTGTAATTTATAACTCTGTGCACTCTGGTCCAGGAAGATGACCAATAACTTAGTCTGGGTGTGTCATCACTGCACCACATCAATATTCATGACCTGAGRCGTCACCTGCATCCTCCCTGAACACAGGAGCAGCAGACAAAGCACGTTGAGCTAAGACCGCACTAACGACCGCTATTGATCCTGGATCAATTCTATTATCACTGCTAAAGACATGGACAGTGAGCTGAGAGAGACACACACTTTAACTTTAATGGAAAATGGACAAAACGTCTCGTCCGGTCCAGTCAAAGAACATAACTAGTATTCCTTAAAAGAATTGTATTTTAAAGTTTAAATCACAAACTCAGGTGTTACGATGAGATGACTCTCAACAACTACCAATGCAAAAATCTAGATCAGTATCTGTAAAAAGACTGAATTGTAACGTTTTAGCTGTGGTGGCCAATCATCCAATCACGACTTTTTGAGAGTTTCAATTAATTCCATCCACTGGTTCAAAAGATATTTTGCTAACAAACAGAGAGATGCTCCTACACACACCTACAGGTCATTAAGTGACAAACTGTCTGAGATTCCACAAACATGTCCATACTGTCCTACAAATGTATCAATACTGTCCTACAAATGTATCAATACTGTCCTACAAATGTATCAATACTGTCCTACAAATGTATCAATACTGTCCTACAAACATTTTAATACTGTGCCACAAACAT